CAACATCCTACTCTTCCAGGCGCTCCAAACGAATCTGCGGTTTTGCATGGAAGACCTGAAGAATGAGCTTTCTCGAACATCGCAAGGTGTCTGTTTAGCGATAGAATCGCTTTCCTACTGTGATAAGGTGGCTTTTAACACTTTGCTTGCTTCTTCGTTTCGTAGTCTATTGCATAGCTATTTATACAGCAAAATTTGTACTTAGGTCACTCAATAAGTAGTTACAACCTCAATTACATTAACATCATTAATTATCAAGTGACGCGCGCGGACTCTTCTGTTAATTTGCAATACGAAATAGATTGTGCTAACAATTGTCAACTACTTTCTATATTTATAGATAATTACTTGGTCATAACGGACAGCAGAATAGCTTTTACTTGTCATGGAAATTGAAAATATTAGCATAAAAGCTGTTTGAAACTCAAATAATTCTTATTTTGTAGGATTTCCGAGTAGTTCATGGTTCCCGCATCAGTCAAGACTGGAAGTGGCGCAGTAATGTTCTTGGGTAAGAGTTTTTCTTATCTTGTACATCTTAGTATTACTAATTTTATAAAATGCGTCAGCAAGAGTTCTGTTGAGTTTCGCATTATAAAATTGTTAACAAAGACAGAAGAGAGAATCTAACTATCCTGGGTTGAAGCAGTATTTCATATACAGAGAAAACGGGTAAACCATACTTGAGGTTTGGAAAAATATCTCAGGTGATATTTACAAAAAAAAGGATAACTAATTTTTGGAAACTACTTGAATGTTATTATCAGCAATATCTGTTGTAACTAATCCTTTTTACATTTATACAGCACTTCAATACGAACGTCTGGCTTTCGGATATTTGATAACATTAATAAAAATATCAGTAATATGCTCGCTTGAACTCAACTGGCACTTTGACATTTTTTAAAGAATTAGAGATTTTTCTTCGCACAAAGCAACCTAAACCAACTTGTTTAGAGTGTTTAAAGCACGCGAAAATCAGTCTTTGGCCGAGATCATCAACGTTGTTGTACATAACTATGAATTGGATAGGAATCTTTTACGAATCACATGTACCAAAAGTGGCGAGGAATTTGCACCGGCCAAAGCATTTCCAGATCTCAAAGAGAAATTACGAGAGGTAGATTAATTCTCCTTGCTGTGTTCAGATATTTGTAAATATTTTTGTCCTTTCAAGGTGCTGCATACAGTACTATCAACCTGTTCCATTCCCGTATTGCAATCGATACAGATGGTAGACCAAATTATGAAAGCGTTTGCTGACTCAGATGTCCGACCGCCATTTGCGATACGATGTTGTGGTGAAGATATCTTTAACATCTACTCCCTTCTAAGAGATTTCAACTACCACTATCACACAATCGGTGAAATTATTCAATCTAAACTTCAAAGTAAGTTGCAATTGGCTTTGAGTTCTGGTATATTGCAAAGACTTGTTATTGAAGTTCTGCAACCCTGCTTCGCTAGTCTCAATGCCGATCATCTCCGCGAGCTTGAAGAGTTCCTGGGGCCCTTTCAAGAAACCTTCGAGTCATTGGCTCAAGAACAACCTAATTTTCATAAGGTTTGCTTCCCAACTTCACCTGATTTTTCCGAATACAGGTTCTGCTGTGGGAGTTTACATCTGTCCATTATAGGTGCTACCCGAATGGTATGCTTTGATGCATGAATGCCATCCTTCATCTGAAGAAATATCGCCACTTTTGAGAGAGTTGAAAACGGTTGGTGTAGAAGAATTAAATTCTCAAATCTTGATCAAATGCCTCAGGTTGTAGCATAGATATATAAACTGAGGAAAAAATCGGAAAAATCTATAGAATGCATTAAAAGATAAATTCTATTTTTGTTTGCTGGCTTTTGTCTTTTTTCAACTATGAAACTTTATTCGGAAGTTAGTAGATGTTCACAAACGCTGAGCTGTTTAGCCTCCAAAATGACTGTACTATAAAATGTTTTGTAAGTAAAACAAGGTGTTCGAGTAAGATGAGAAGAAGATTTGCATCTCATATTTCAATAAAACTGTTTTCAATTTAGAAGGCCAGTGAGCTTCTGATCCGAGAGCAGTCAACGACTATCACCGTTGAGCATCGAATTGCTGCAATATTCAATCCTAGGCATAACAGAAAGCTAAGCCTAATTTGCACTGATCATGAGAGGTAGGTTCCCTTATCCTTTCTGCAAATTGTAGTGTTGATCCACAATAATATTCTCCTAAAATTGGATATCTTCAATCACC